AAAAATTAAAAATAAACAAAATTATAAAGAGTGTGGTTTTAATCACATTACTCATGTTTACTATTTTTCACATGGGATCATCTTTCGCACAATATTGTGTCATTTACCTGTACAAGTGCCCATATGTGATCTTTGTAATGTTCTGGGACTTTGTGCCAATTCTTGTAAGTGAGTGGTGCATTTTTCCCATCACGCACAATAGTTCCAATGAATGCTGATAACTTTGTTGCCAATTTGTCATCAGGTTGGCCAAGTTTGTTCCAATTGACTGTTAGGCGCTCATCATCACGAGTACCCCAAATCTTACGCATTTGCGTGGGACCTCTAGCTTTCTTTTGTCCACTAGCACCATCTAGTTATAAAAAAAAAATAAATAATAATACTAATAATAAATTATATACGAAGAAATAATAACATTTTATGAGAGTTTGAACTTGCATACCTGCATTATCATTAGGTTGACTAGAATTTGGCTGTATCTCAGATGGAGCTGACTCACTAAACTCACCAACATTGCCTGAGCGAAACTGAAGATATGGGTCCATAGGCCTTTTGCTTTATAGATGAATCCTAGTATGATTCAAGTAAAATAGACAAATCAAATTATAAACTTAGAATGATCCAAATAAATTATTTGCAAATGAACAAAACACTTGAAGAAAATTAACCAAAAAAAAAAAAAATTGTGAATTCACCTTTATTGCGTTGCTATCTTGGTAGTGACTAAATGTAACATATAGTGAATAAATATTTTGTAGCCACATATGAAAATCACATAGTGATGAATCCTAGTATGATTCAAGTAAAATAGACAAATCAAATTATAAACTTAGAATGATCCAAATAAATTATTTGCAAATGAACAAAACACTTGAAGAAAATTAACCAAAAAAAAAAAAATTTGTGAATTCACCTTTATTGCGTTGCTATCTTGGTAGTGACTAAATGTAACATAGAGTGAATAAATATTTTGTAGCCCCATATGCAAATCACATAGTTAAATTAAAAATGCATATTCATTCTTCAAACAATCAATTAAATTAACAAAAACAATGATAAAGAAAGATAACAAAATGAAACTATAGAATTGTTTTCAAATATAAATAACTAGCAATGTTCAATAAGTTTAACAGTCACATAAGATCTAATTCTTCATCATCTCCATCATCATCTCCATCATCATGAACATTGTTGTCTCTCAACACCTGAGAAAGTGGTGCATCTACAATTGCAGCAGACATGTCTGTCCGAACCAAATCAAAATTATTATCCCCATCACCACTTTGTGTATTACATACAACACTCTGCAAGTATGCCTCCACATTGTCCACAGAAGACCCCGCATTCATATCATAAAAATCTCTCGGATTTATCTTGATAGCAACTTGCCAATCTTTGTGTTTCAGGTCTTCTACATACATTACATGTTCTGCTTGAGAAGCCAAAACAAAAGGCTCAACATCTTTCATTAATGTTAATTGAAAAATAAGTATTGCATGGTATTCTAAAATAAAGTTGGGAATAATGTGATATATAAGATTAGCTCTTAATAGGTACCTGAGTAAGAGAAGCATCTTGTATCGATGACAAAGATCATGCTTGATGTCGAGTTGCCATGTCGAGAGGAGTAGAAATTGTTGTGGCCTAACCAAATTTGAACTATTTAATTTTACAAACACACACACATAGATATATGTATGCATATATAAGTGTAGGAAAACATTAATAACTTATAAATTCTATTAAAAAAATTACCTGATTAGATGTGTTTGTCAAGTTATTCGGAGCATGTTGAACATGGGAAACTTTGGACCTTAGCTCCGAATTTTCACCTTCCATAACATCCATTGTTGTGTCTTGGTTTGCTTTATGACCAGATGTATCTCTCCATAAATTAGACGGGGAGACACCTAATCCATACATGCGAACTCGTCCATGTTTTTCTTTACCCATCACTTGTCCAAATGCATCATTTGGGCCCTTATTTGATAAATTTGCATTTAAGGTTGTCCTCTCATTCATTTCATCCTATAAGGTTGCAAAAAACATAACTTAATATATACATTTCAATAACTCAACACTATAATGTGGAAATTTTAACTAATCTACAAGTTCAAATGGACATAATTATTTGGTACATACTATCATTGCTTTCGTTGCCTCAGGGGTTCCTGTCTCCTTTGTATAACATACTTTAAACATGTGAGCACGAGTTGGAGAGTGTCCCAACTTATTTTTCTACAAAATAATATATTCCAAAATATAAATTATATCATTATGTCACATTATGTATACCTTATCATATTAAATATACA